ATGAGGCAGAGGAGCCGCCGCCGCCGAGGCCGGACCGAGGCTGACGCTGCAGCCGAAGCCCTGGAGGCAGAAGGCGGGGAGGGGGAGCGACGAGATCGCGGGCCAGCCTCTCGCGAGAGCCAGCACCCGAGCCGCGCAGGGCCCCGCCCCGTCCCTCGCTGGGGCGTCGGTGCACCAGCCGAAGGCCGCCTCCCGGAAGGAAAAAGGGGCGGAGACCTACCGAGGCGGTGCCCCGAGGGTGCGTACGCGCTCGCCTCCCACCGCGCGTGTGCGCATGCGCCCGGGGCGCTGGGCGGGGAGCAGGTGGAGGCGAAGTGCGAAGGCGGCGGTGGGGGTCGGGAGCTGGAGCAGGTGAGTAGGGGAGAAGTCCGATGCTCTGAGCCTTGAGGGAGCGGGAGTGGGACTACGTGAGCCGTAAAATCTCCACAAGTTGTGGGCGACAGACCCAGAGTCAACTGAAGTTTTTTTGGCCAATTATGGACACACACACACAGCCCCCACCCACTCATAATTAACCCCATTTGTTTGTGAAAGAAAGGTATTTTTAAATTACTTTTACTGTGGTAAATATATATATATATAACATAAAATTTACCACTTTTACCGTTTTTACGTGTACAGTTCAGTGGCATTAAGTACACTCACATTGTTGTGCAAACATTGCCACCATCCATCTCCAGAACTTTCTCATCTTCCCAAACTGAAACTCTGTCTCTATTAAACACTAACCCCAGCACTCCTCCCCCAGCCCCTGGCACCCACCATTTACTTTCTGTCTTTATGAATCTGACTCCTCTAGGGACATCATGTAACTGGACTCATACCATATTTGTCCCGTTGGTCTGGCTGGTATCACTCAGAATAATGTCTTCAGGGTCTATCCACGGTTGTAGCAGGTGCCAGAATTTCTTTTCTTTTTAAAGCTGAATAATTTGGACCCCATTCTGTCGATTCATTCATCCATTGGTAGACATTTGAGCGTTCCCACCTTTTGGCTATTGTGAATAATGCTTTGAACGTAGGTGTACAAGTATCTGTCCCTGCTTTTAGTTCTTTGGGGCATCTACCTAGAAATGGAATTGCTGGATCATATGGTAATTCTGTTTCATTTTTTTAAGGAACCACTATACTGTTTTTCACAGTGGCTGCATCATTTTAGGAGAAAGGTTGTTTTAACACTAATTTTTTTTAAAGAAGGAAATACATGGCACAGAATAAAGGACTGTCACTTAAGTGGGAAAAAGTTGACTTTATGTAAAATTTACCACATTGCTTTTCTCTTTGTCGCATCTTTGAGCACCGGTGTACATTTTATGATGGGGTGTACTTTGGGAACCACGTGGAAAGAAACAGAGGGAAAGGCTTAGTCAGCACTCTCTTCCAGGGTCCATACCAGGTCCCCTCGTCTCCCTGGCTCAGTCTTGCCCAC